ATTATTGACACGCAGTCGTCCCTCACAAAGAAGGGAGAGGCCTGAAAAATCTCCTTCACCTGTAGTTCAAATAAAAGCTACATTCAGAGAAGTATTTTTTGAGCTGGAAACCAAGTTTTTTAAAATTCCAGTTTTACACTACTGCTCCTCTTCTTGGGCTAAATCCTCCTGACTGCTGCTCACGACTTTGTTTGAAGTTCAAGAGGCCAACAAGCACCATCTTTACATGTGGGCTCTGCAGTTGGGTGCAGAGACAGGAAATGGATGTGTGGGTTGTCAAGGATGAAGGCTGCTCAAAAGTGCCATTAGCAAGGAATACAATGGGTAGGAAAGGGACTCCAGTTTACTTTGCTGCAACTGGTGACCCATACATGCATGTGAAAGGCAAGAGATGGATAGCCTGGCTTTCAGGAATGTCCCAGGGAACTGCATTTCCAACAAGAGCATATTGGCTGATAATGATCCTCTATACCCTATCCTACATGAGGCAGCAGAGCTCTAGCTTTGCAGGGTCCTCTAAAGTTTCAGCTGAAATTCAGTGTGGAAAAGTATTGGCCAGGCTGCAGGCAGCAGAGACTTTGATTTCAACCACCCCCCATTTCTTCCTTCCAATTATTGCTTAGAAAAAGAGTACACTCAGTGCACACTTAATAAACTTTTCCTGCAGCTCAAAGGTCTAGAACACGTTTTGTTTATTTTTTTAATATTTTAAAATATTAAATGTATTTTACATGCCTAAAAATACAATTTACATTGTTTTCAATCAATATAAAGGAGCGACCTTGCAGCAGCAGGTTGACAATGTGGCCAATCAAACAGTAGAGAGCTTTTCTCAAAATAGAACCATCCCAGTCAAACCCACTGCTAAACATGACCAGTAAGAACAGGCCTGTAGTTACTGTTAGTAGGCTGTCACTGCATTTGTTATGTTATCTGTCATCTCCTGGTTTACTTGGAGCTGCCATCATTCCTCTGTGCTTGCAACTCACACAACTTCTCCCCCAAGTGCATTTGAGATCAGGTGGCTCTGCACTGTTTTCGGGGTTAAACAATGGGAAATGACTCATATACACAAAAAAATACACACATTACACAGAACCGATCAGGGTTTGCTATAAAATTTCTGGCAAGCAAACGGAAAAACAAGAAATAGTACCTTATCCAGCAACTTTTGAGCTTTCTCTCCTGGCAGCAACCGTAGGCCAGCTGTGGCTTTCAGGACCAGAGGAGTAAACTTCCACAGCTCCATAGGAACTTCCTTCTTTGCCACCTCCAGGAGCTCTTCTATGCCCTGGGCACTCTGTGAGCAAAAAAAGAACAAGAAAAGGCATCTTAAAAACTCTTTTGAAAGGGCAAAAGGGTGATCAGAGACTCAATTCACTGTAAATGTGAAACAGAGACAAATTAAAAGCACAAGGGGCCAGGAGAAGGTGTAGGACTCACTATCTCCTACAGTGTTAAGTCTTAGTGGATATAACAGATATTATCAAGCTACAGGTCAAACCTGAAAGACTCCCTTTTTCAAACAGTGACATAGAACTCTATCACTGAATGTTTTGGCTACAGAGGGCTCAAAAGGCAGTATGACCAATTCCTGGAAAACAAAGGCTTTTGGAGCCAGTAAAACGCTACAAGCTGGGTGTAAGTCTGGCTCAGGGAGTGCCTAAATTCCTGCGAGCTTGAAGGTAAGGGAGACAGAAGAGAAATCACTTAAATTACCTTTTCGACATCATCAGCATATGCAGATAGACCTGGTTTCAGTGCTTTAAACGTCTCATGGGTTAATTTGGGAGTTTCTGTTCAAAAGCAGTATTCCAAAATAAGTAACAGTACAAATAATTTCGCATACACAAAAAGAAAATCATTTAACAAATTACATTACTAGGTGTTAATGGAAGTCAGTTGAAGCCTCTGTCTAATGAACTATCAACAGCACCTGACCTCTAAATACAGCCCTTGCTATGGAATTAGATCTTGAGAAAACCATTTTTAAAGTCATGACTGGTTTTCAGGTGCTGGTGTGCACTATATTCTTTATGCATATCAGACAATGGGTTCAAGTTGTCTTTGAGGCCTTACACCCGCCAAGTGCAGCTTTCCAAACTGCACCTGTAACAAAGGCTCCAAATTTCAGCATGCTCTGTTCTGACTAAACTTGGTTCCAGCAAACACTAGTGGAAGCTTTTCCTTTTTTTTCAATAACAGCAGAGGGAGCCAGACTTAAACATATTGCAAACCTGTAGCCCTACATGCACCTGAAATCAAGACAACACCAGCCTGACACACTGTCATCCTCCTCCTGTAGCCAACTACACTCTATAAAGTTTGCTGCAATATATTCTGAAATTATGTTTAAAGAAAAGCAGGCAAGGAAGCAGCAAAGACTTGAGAATACACTAAAAGACTGCCAGTGGACTGTTGTTTAACACCTTTGTTGGCTAAGCCTTACAACAGCCCATTATGCAAACCTACCTTGCTCCCCAGTGGTCAATCACACCATACACTGCTAACCCTGAAAACCTTCAGGTCACTTACTAACAGCACTCACAAAAGTTTTTTGATCTTTAAGACTTTTACAAATAGGAGCTGACAACATGTAAACAAATGAAGCTTAGTACTCCAGAGGAAAACTGGAGATTTTTTTGTACACTTCTGTCTCACTTCTGAGTAGTTTTTGTCCAGATGTAATACATAGCAATTTTAATCAAACAATTTACAATTTTTGTTTTATTTTACAGTTTAAATCCAACACTCAAGCCAAGGATGCACTAAACCAGACACTGCAGAGAGAAGCAGCTCACTAGCATGAACTGGAGACAGCCAACAACCTCATGGTGAAAATCTGGGGAAATAAGGAAGTTTGAATTTATAATCTTCTCTTCCACCAGTGTGATGAAAAATTGCTCTTCTTCAAGCCACCACTCTAAAAGTACAGGTGCTATTTAGTTCACATTCTGACATTACAGCATTTTCTTCTTGTTGAACATTTCGTAATTTCATCCAAGCATATATGCCTAAATCATAATATAGATGACTCTCTAGAAAGAGCTGAAGCATGTTTGTTCCAGTAATCTCTAGAAAAGAGTCATCAATAATCTGCTCCATAACGTTGTGGAAGACTTAATCTATCAAGCAATGAGCAGGACATACCTCTTGGCTGCTGTGTAAATTTAAATATATGGATGCGAGTTCCTGTGCTTCCTGCGTCAAACATAATTCCATAAAAGACCGAGAGATCTGTGGTCACTGCCTGATGGTTCAGTTTATCTCCCCTGCTTTCAGCAATTCCTTCTGTTGCTCCCATGAGTGGTTTGGAATCCAAGCGCCATTTTATGTATGCAACATAAATAGCTATGCATGCCAAAATCCCAAAAGCGAAGAACCGCTTTGACATCTTCATGGCTTCCATCTATCAGATGTTTTGTGTCTTCCCTTTATCACAGAGAACAGGTGGTTCCCACATCACTCCTACATCCAACAGAAGAGAAAAAGTCCGTTTTATTTTCTAAACCCGATTAACGGATCTAAGAGCATGATGCCTACAACACTGAACACTCCCAATTGTTCCAAAGGAACACATCCTCCTTCAGCATGTCATTGAGATCTACAGCTAACTTTGAGGCATGGAGCAGCATAAATCTTCTTTTCCTCCATTGCTACAGAGGCCTTAGAGGCAGAGAAAGGAGAGTTCAGAGAAAGTAAATACAGTGACTGAGGTGGGAAGGAACCTCAAGAGGTCTCTCATCCAATCTCCTGCTCACAGCATGGGCAGCTATAGGGCTCCTCCATGTTATCCAACTCATCTTGAAGAAATCTGAGGACGAAGATCCCGCAGATCCACTGCCACTTATCTTTGTGAATTCCTGGATGGTGAAACAGGTCCCAGAAGACTGGACAAGGACAGTTTTTTAAAAGGCAAGAGGGAGTTGAGTGTTCCTCTCTCCCATGTCCAATACCAGGAAAGAAACCACAGCAAAGCACAATGCAAAAAATCTACAAGCACTCACATGACACCATTCAGATGATTAAAAAACAGTTAGTGATGATTTATGGGGAGCAAAATTACGTATTATTTTTCCTTTTTTGTTAAGGAGTAATGAAGAGAGAACAAACCAAACAACGAAGTTGAGTTAAACAAGGTTTTGACACACGTGTAATTTGTTGGTGATATGAATTCAGGAGGCATACAGAAGGTGTGAAGGGGAGGAATTTAAAATCAAAATTACAAGCATATTGGGTAAGACAAAATTTCATAAAAATGGAGAAAAGCTAAACCACAGGCACAAATACACATGAAGAACAGATCAGTGTGAGGGAAAGGGAACTGTAGGCTGTCATGACACAGAAATCAGGAAGATGGCATTGCAAAAAAAAAAAAAAAAATCTTTCTGGCTTCTACCAGCAGGCAGAGACATGCAGGTGGCAATCGCTGCACGTCTAGGGGATGATCACTCCAATCCTTCTGGTGCCAGAAAGGCCTCAACTGCAGCCACACGAGAGCTAAATGTCACAGGAAGGAGGAAAGCCGCAGGGGTTTTGTGTCTTTGAGGAGACTCAAGCCCCACGGCAGGAAAGGGGAGACTGGAAGGATGAGGGGGAGGCCTGGAGGCGCAACAGTCTGGAAGCACTACTACCCTACCGCCGTCTGCCTGAATAGAACTGGGATTGCCCTTTCCCTGCCTTTGTCAGGGGACGCCGAGATTTTCTGCAAGGGAAAATCTTCCCGCCTGCGCCGCCGAGGATCGGGAGGAAACGCGGCCGCGGCGGGGCGGCCCGGGCCCAGCGGGGACGCTCCCCGCTCACACGCGTCCGCGCCGCCTCTCGCGCCCTCTCTCTCTCCCTCCCTCCCCCTCCTTGCCTCCCTGCCCTCCCTCCCCTCACTCCCTCAGCAGCACGCCGCTCACGGCGCCCCGCCGGGCCCGCGCCATGGCGCGCGCCGCTGGCCGGCGGCCTGGGGCGGCGGCCTCCGCTTCGCCGCCGGCGGGCAGGCGCGGGGTGGGCCCCGCGCTCCGTGAGGGGAGGCCGGTCTCGCAGCGGGGGAGACCCCCAGGGGTGGGTGCTCCCGGAAAATGTGGCTAAAGGAGGAGCAAAAGGCCGCAAAATCAGAGAGGTATGAGGATCAGTGTTGAAAAATGTGGAATATGTCAAAATTACCGTAAGTCAGGGTGTTATTTGATGTTTGATCTTTGTGTATTAGCAAGAAATGAGACTTAATCAGTGGAACAGACAGAAACAAACAAGCTCTAGGGATGATATACATCCAGACACGAGCTCTAAAGCATGATGTAAATCAAGAAGCTGCTGTATGTCAGTAGAACAGGTGGTAGTTAGCATCCCTCAGTCAAGGACACCCTGGAGCTAACAAGCTCTAAGGACAAAGTAAATGAAGATGTTGATGTATATATTGTCAACTCGGCAAAAGACTCGAGGTCCATGTATCCTATAGCTGAACTATCTTCATTATAGTACTAAAAATCATGCCTACAGGTGAAAAAGGTCCTCCCCCAGCAAAGACCCTTCCCCTGAGCATGTGCAGAAGTTAGATAGGATTACATAATTTGTGTGATAATTACTAATCAATACTAATAGAGGAGCTGTACTTGAGAGGCTACTAACACTAAATTTCTGTGTATAAAGAATGGCGTGGAAAGTCTGGAAGGGTGTCCTTGATTTGTGGAATACCACCGAGCATCCAAACTTGTACAGCTATGAAATAAATAAGCAGTGTCTCTCTTGAGTTTGGTTGAGTTTGGTCTCTGATTATTGGTTTGTTGCACACTGGGTAAGGAATCCAGTTTTTGTGGACAAGAGGAGCAGTCCCCAGGCTGAGGGGAGGTGGGGCAGGGCAGGGCTTGTGCTAGCAGAGGGATGGCCCCGTGGCCCCGGGATAATGCCACCAGGAGATGGCTGGCAGGGCTGCCAGGCACACTCTAGCTCCTGGTCAGAGCCTGCCAGGAGCTCTTGACCTACAAGTTTGGGCCAGCTCTGATGTGGGAAGTGTGGGTAGATGTGAGCAAAGGAGGCTCCACGCCTTTCCCCATACGTCGTGTTCCTTTAACAGTTTTTATGCTTGAGTAGCTTCCTTAATGGCTCTTCTGCCATCTAGATAATTTTATCTTTCACCAGCTAAAATTACTCCTGCAGCAGCAGCTTTCTGCTCCAGCCCATCTGGAAGAGTGTGTAGAGGCAGTTTGTGAGCGACACCCTACAACTACATGAAAGGAGGTTGTGGTGAGGTGTGGTTTGGTCGCTTTTCCCAGGCAACAGGTGATCATCATCATCATCATGGCTAGGCTTCGCAAACGAAGATTTGGGAAGGTGTGGGAAGGGCTCTACCCACGTTTGTTGCAAGCGTGTTGGTGGCTAAAAAGGCCAATACGAGATAGGCATGTCCGGAACAGGTGATAGGACAAGGGGAAATGGCCTCTAGTTGCACCAGGTGAGGTTCAGCTTGGATTAGGAAAAGTGTCTTCACTGAAGGAGTGATAAAGCATTGGAAAAGGTCTTCCAGGGAAGTGGTGAAGTAACCATCTCTGGAAGTATTCAAAAAATGAGCAGACCTGGCCCTTCGTGATATGGTTTAGTGATCATGGTGGTATTCAGTCAAAGATTGGACTTGATGATCTTGTAGGTCTTTTCCAACCTTAATGATTCTATGTGTGAGAGCACTACAGCAAACGCAAGGCATGAAGAGATGGAGACTGATTTGGAAATCAGATGCAGAGCAGAAATCTAAGCCATGATGCTCTTGGTTGCGTGCAAGAGGCTCACACCCTCCCAACAAGTCCCACCATTGCCCCCGCAGCTCCATGTGTGTGCAGGTGTCTGTGATGAAAGACCCCGCTGGGGAATAAGTGCAAAGGTCTCCCAGGGTGTCATTTATTCCAGCAAATGACTCCCTTATAGCAGTGTTTGGAAAGTAAATTAATTTTGTGTTTTTTTTTTCCCCAGCCCTGTGAGTAGCAGGAACTGAGGAATTTCAAATGATGGTTACTGTTCAAAACAAACTCCCTGTCTGTTTAACCCAGGTAAATGAAACTGATCTTTCCGACTATTTTTCTAATTTGTTTTAATGTTGTATAATTATTTTTTAAAGAAATCGTGCTGTTAATGGGAGGATCTTGCAAAGAAAGATTAAGATGTAAAGAATTAAAGTTTTTTAAGATTTGCATCTCCTCTGCATTGTGATTGCAACAGACTGTGTGTTAAGTTTCTATCGTGGTTTGTAAGCAAGACCCTAACAGTGTGGTTTTACCACAAAAACCTGTTTGCTGGCAGTTTGAGAAAAAACCCAAACAGCTGAGAATGCTCTGGTAATTCCTGTAGGTGATAATCCCAAAATCGCACCACTGGGACTATGGCGATAGTCCCAAAATGTGGCAGCATTCCTGTCAGTCACAGCATCTCAAGAGCTGCAAACCCAACAGGAAGAAGATAGACAGGAGAACCTCAGGAAAGATACAGCCTGACTGCTGGGTAAATACCCTTTATCCCTGGGGCTGAGGGGAGGATGACCCTCGAAGCTGGGTTTCTAGTCTTGGTGGTTCTGCATCATGGCATCACCTTGTTCTGACCCAAAATAGGAGATGCTGACAGATTAAAATTTTGTGTTTTTTATAGGTGTTGCTGTGCCAGCTGTAGCTCAGTGATAACTAGTGTCAGTGTGAAGATACAATCAATGCAAATAAGCTGGTTTCCAGTTAGCTTTGACCTGAGTGATCCCTTTTTGGTAAAACAACAGAAAAATGGGAGTAGGGAATAAAGATACTACAGGTTTTGGGCCATGGAGCTACTCAGGTCTGGAGCTGTCCTTTAAAGTAAAAGACCAGGGAGCCCCATCTCAAATCCTGTGGTTGTTACTGGGATTTTGGGCTGCTGTGAAAACTCCCACCTAGGAGCAAGTTTCCGGAAACTCAGAACAGGACTTGAGTTGGTTACATTTAGAAATAGACTTGTTACAAGCTCAAGCTTGTCTGAGCTCCTTACTAGGGAGGGCCTGCTACATGAATAGCCTGTTTCTTCTTTCAGGTTGCAAGAAAATAGGAATACTTCTGAAAGGTTACTGGGATTAAAGGACTACTTGCATTTTTTCTTCAAGGCAAAAGATTTAGGTGATGTCAGTATTGTTTTCCTTAGCAATGTAATGTTTTTCAAGCCTAAATTAAAGATGCTTCTGTCACCGATTGCTAAGTCAGCAAAACAAGGTGGTCTTTTCCCTTTTCACTAGGGAAGACAGAAGATGTCAGGAAGTGAGGCCCCTGTGGAAAAGCAGGTCAGGCCAACAGAGAGCAGTATATTGTCAAGAACACCATTTCCCCAGGGTCAGGGCAAAATAGTACAGTATTTATTTCTCTTAGTTGAAATATCTTGCATATATGTTCATAAACAGTCCTGCGGTTAGGACTACAGATTACAAAGAAATGGGAATGTAATGCTGGGTTGTTTTTTTTTTTCCTTTTTTGTGTTCGCGGGAACAGTTCTCCAGCTGGGGACCTGGGATGGAGTGTAGGTGGCTTAAAAAGTTTTAGATTTGTTTCTGAGACTTTGTCACACGCAGTACTGTGGTCATTCTTAGAATTAAGCCATATGGTCTGAGATTTGTAACAAATTTTCAATTATGATGTCTATCTGTTATACATATTATTTATATGTGCACATTTAGATTCATAGCTTGGTGTATTATATATATCATACATGGGCTAGAATGCAGGTCATTGGGAACCAGTTTGGGAACCATTTGGGAAATGATCTCTGTCACTCCAGTGTTATAAGAACAATTGTGTTGGATATATGAATGAGAATTAATAAACAGGCATCAAATACAAATTGCACAAATAGGAGAATCTGTATAATTAAAAGGCTATTTCACCAATTCGGTCATGACTATTATGAACAGTAACAAGATTATGTTGTAGATAGAAGTACAAGGCCATTATTTTTGGCACAGCGTGCCCACAAACTGCACGTAATCAGCATGTTGTTTTGTGCAGGCCAGGTAGTAACATATGGTAAATGACACTGACTGGTTCATCTCCTCCCATCCTCAGAGGCACATGGGTGTTCAATCAGCTGACATGTACCCAGCAGTAGCGTTTGGGCTGCTGTATGTGGACCCGATTGCACATGTGCAGTGTGGAAAACCTGCCCTCTGAGAGCTGCACTGTTAATTAAAGCTCCTTATGCAGGGCGTGTTTGCCTTGGTGCTCCCACCCCTTCCCTGCCTGGGGACTGGTTCTTCCAGGCAGCAGCGCAAGTTTGTGAAATTCAAAGGGGTGAGGAATCTGTTCCCAGCTTGTGGCTGGTGCCACTGAAGCTGGTGCACGGGTGCTCACACACCAGCCTTCCAACTGCTGTTGCTCTGCATTTCAGGCTGTGTCCTGGGTCCCAGGTGCTCCCCAGCCACTTAATTAGTAATGCTGTTAATAATACTGCAAGTTTAAGGTACAAAGATCACCTCAGGTAACTCCCTGAGATATTACATTGGACAATTCTGGAGTTCCTCTGCTAACAGCAGAATAGGAAGCCAGAAGTCCTGTTCCATGGCAAACTGAGTTGGGATTGTCTGAAGAAGAAAAATATGTGGAAATACTAAGGAAAAGTAACAGCAGCTATAGCTTAAATTTCCATCCAAGATCCATTTGCTCCCTTCTTCTTAAAGACCAGATTATATTAGTGCTGACCTTTAGCAGAAAAGTGTGATGGTCATTGAACCCTGAACATTAAATTTGTTTCCTTGTTGCAAATCACGCCCCTGTAGGGTTTGCTGTGGTGATCTCCAGATCCTCCCCATATCCCTGAGCAGGATAGCTAGATCCATTCCTGCCACTTTTCTGAAACCCCACATGGCACCTGCTGCTCTCCGATGCCCTCCGCTGTGGTTCTTCATCATTCCTTCCCAAAATTTCTAGCAAGGCAGGACTAGGCACGTACTGTGGCTTCTCTAGAGCTGCATCTGTGCCTAGTGCAGAGGGCCATGGTCAAGCATACTAGAGTGATACTGAGCTGTCATTTCCTTTCCTATGGAGGAAGCCTAAATAAAATATTTCTCCATCTCCCCTCTGGATACTCACCAGTTTTCGACAAACTCATAGAAATTAAACGTCTTTGACATGTTTCTGGCGATTTTGGCCAGTAGTAACTGAGTTCAATAATTTTGGAGGGGCAGTTCTGTGCTTGTATCAAAGAGGATGTCTCCCAGGGGGTGTCACTGGTGTTTTTGTTAGTGATTGTGGCTGGAGTTGGACAAACCAGAAAAACTGAGCAGGTCTCTGCTGGTTCCTCACTGCTGCTCACAAGCCTTGTGCAGAAATGAACTGTAACTTTGGAAATGCTGCCTCAACGTGGTCTTTTTGGTGCCCTACAGGCTGAAGTTCTTCACAAATTTATCATGACCTACATAATTGACCTATATTATGTGTCTGTTTGTTAAATAGATTACACTAATTAGAAACATGAATGAGGATGGCTTAGCAGTTATTTATTTATACTGAGGTGTGCCTGTTGTCTGAAATGATGTATGGGAGAATCATTGCCAGACTTTCCCCCTCTGCCTCCTCCATATTTGGCATGTACCATGGATTATTGGAATAAAACATGAATTGTTTCTGCTTTCAGAAAAAAGAAGTAAAATTGTTTTTATTACTCTTCTTCAAGGGGATATATCCACCAGCATGTCTGTATGCAAGAAAATTAAGCATGAGGGAGAAAACATAGCAAAATTTGTAAGCCCTTGATTTGTAGGGCAGTGAGTAGGGACTGAGTGTGCTTTGCACTTTGGTCACTTTATTGAGACCTTTCTGGCTGAGAAACAGCATTACTACACCTTGCTGATGTTTGAACATTCTATAATGAAAGGTTTTATTTCTCCTTGCACTTGTGCCATGCTTGCAGACTGTTGGAACTATTTGAAATCCCGGGTGCCGGTGAAATGTGGTGAGTTTAATGGAACTGCACCTGCTTCCAGCAAGTACGAATTTTGCTTTTAATGTTTTAAACTGACGTCCAAAGCCTGGCTGATTTGCCTCTAGGGGCAGATTTGGATCAAGGCTTTAAAACAGATGTCCCCTGCTACAGACCCCCTCAGTTGTATTAACAATGCTGTTGGGCGGTTTCCACTGCTGTGTCCTCATTCGTATAGAAGGGTGTGCAGAGTGTAATCTAATTAAGGAGAACTCGCCAGATTTTTTTTCATGTCTGCTATCATTGTGTTGTTAACTTCTCCAAATTCGTTAGAAATGTATCCATCTGTGGGCTGTCACATAGCACTGTGTTGAATATTATCCGTAATTCTTCCAAGAAGCTTGTTTTGGAGAAAAAAATAGGTGGGGAGGATAAGTAAAGTGAAAACAAATTGCTACCATTTTTAACTGTTCACAATTTCAGAAATTGTTCCTTGTGTGTCATGTTAGGGATGCATTTCCAGAGAGTCAAAAATACATATTTTACCAGTAGGTTTGTGGGCAGAATGTTTATTCAAATATGTATATTTTTTGTTTGGTAAAGTGGTTGTCAAGTGGCAGAAGTTTGTCTGGTGGAATAGACAACCCATGCCTTTAACAGGCTTTTGTCATAGTCTTGGAATCAATTGTGAACATTCTGAGGGAGAAGAAAGTAATTTCTCACACTGTCATTCTGCTTCCTCTGTAGAAGATTGATCCCAGCCTTTTCTATAGGGCTTTTAAAAGCTATTACTGTCTGATGTATGACATTAAGGTTCAAAAAACCAGCTTTTGGTAAAAATGCTCTGATTTGAAAAAACTTTTTGAGCATGATATTTGAAACCTAGGATAAATTAGCTTCAAACTGACCTCTTGAGGTTCCCATGCTCAAACCAGGGCCAAATTTGAAGTTTGATTGAATCGCTCAAAGTGTTGTCCAGCTGAGTGTTCAGTATCTCCAAGGATGGAGGCTCCTGGGGCCCTGTCCCAGGACTGAAGATGAAATGCGTTGCATGATACCTAGTAGGAAGTTGCCGTGTTCCAATTTGTGTCCACCACTTCTTGTGCTGTCACTGGGATCTCTGGAAAAAGCCAGTCTCCATCTTGTCTTCTTCAGGTAGCTGCAGATAGCAATAAGTTCTCCTCTTTGCCTCTCTGTCTCCAAGTTGAACAAAAAAGTGTTGAATGGAGCGGTAGGGACTGTTCCCTCTCCTGCTGACTCTCCTTTTGCTAACTCAGCCCAGGGCATGGTTGGCCTTCTTTCCTGCAAGAGGATGCTGCTGATCCTAGTCAGTTTGGCCCCCAGGGGCTTTTCCATGGCGCTGTCCTGGGACAGGACTTAGCATGTGCCTTTGCTAGACCCTGTCAGCCCACCTCTCCAGCCTGTCCAGGTTCCTCTGGAAAGCAGCACTGCCCTCCAGCTTGAGCCAGGGTACATTCCATCCTGTCTTTAGGTGGTTAAGATGATCTAGATAGTATCGACCCCTGAAAGATGCTCTTAATATTCAGCTGCTAGTTAGACTGTGACTACAGACAGTA